AGGAATTAGGAAATAAAAGCTGGACTAGAGTTAAGAAATGTGTAAACATTTACAGACACAACAACAAACACATGCATAAACATACACACTGTCACAAAAGCCTGCATAAACAAGAACAAGAACAAGTTTGCAGTCCAACAACACAAATAAAATGTACTGGGCACCGTGAAACCACCAGGAATAAGTTGACTGAGACGGCTTCCTGTTTACATCTACTGCTTATGAGACACTGTTAAAACATGATAAGGGTGTAACTGCAGATAAGGGAGATGAAAAGGAGAAATAAAGGCACCAGAGCTTTAGCTGACATTGAACTCAAAATAAGAAGCCAGTTTTGACTTGGGGTCTGGAAAAAAACAAATATCTGGGTAGCTGCTTCTAACATATGTAAGACATTAGGAATACAGCAAACAAAAACAAAAATAATACTGCATAAAATGAACATGTGTTGATGGTTAAGGGAGGCATGCACATCTTGCAATATGTGCTCTTGACGAGAGCCATATTGTTGGAAATTAAATAGAATTATTTTAGTTAACGTTTTGCCAAAAAAAGGTGTGGGGGGGGGGGAGTTTGTGCACTTTATGGAGCATTTTCCCCATTGTTTTAGGTTTCAATTTGTATGTGTTTGAGGAAAAAGAAGGATACATTTCACCAACAAAGGGTCATGACAGCCATTAGAAACATATTATTAAAATTTGTCTCAGAGAGACTGTGGCACAAGGCACCTCTGTTTGACTTAGCATCTCTCCTTTCCTCGAAAAGGAACAAAGACAGAGAGATAAAGAGAGCTCCAGAAGGCCATGAAATATGTATGCAAGCATTTAACCTCAGACATTTTGTCACACACTCTCCTCAGTCATGGCCGGTCAAAGCTTAAGTGCAACCCACTCCGGCACTCTTGTTTGTTTGCTAACCCCGAGTACCTGTATTAGCCTAGCACTACCATAAAGCCCACAGGGAGTGGAGCTTCTTCAACCGTTTATGAGAACCTAAGTTGTCTATTCACTTTAAAGATTGTAGCCCTGCAAGACACTGCAGCTCAAGTGATGGAACGTCGTTTTTAAAAAACTCAAGAGAAATTGGTCAGCTTTACAGGCTGAGTGTGTATAGGCTTATACCAGGGGTGGGGAACCTTTTTCCTCTCAAGGGCCATTGAAATATTTTCAACATCCTCCGAGGGCCGTACAAATGATTGACCTCTGCTTAAAAAAACTAAAATCACAGCCCATTCATTTGGCCTTTCTTTCATGCTGTGCAAAGAAAAAGCAACCTTTTAATCCAGATATCTTACCATGACTCACGCATGCACGTGCACGGTTGTGGCATGACCACCAAAACAGAAAGATATGGACACAATATGTGTGCAAATTCAATGCAAAGGACTTCGAATCAGGGTAAGTTTGAGTCCCACTGCAGTCAGCATCTCGTTGTGTCCCTGGGCAAGACACTTCACCCCAAATTGCTCCTGTGGGTATTGTCCACAGTACTGAATGTATGCAAGTCGCTTTGGATAAAAGCGTCAAACAAATTACATGTAATGTAATGTAATGTATTTAGTGTCCTAACCATGTGAACATGATTTAAGGGGGGGGGGACCTAACCTCCTCTAGGGGGGTCCGTGGGCATGCTCCCCAGGAATATATATTTTTTAAATGTTGAAGTTAAAAGCATCAATCTGGTGCACTTTGAGAGCAACATGAAGAGATCTATGGATCCATCTCTCAACATCCATATGAAACAGAACTGGAAGCATATTTTATTTTTCTTCATGGATATTTTACAAATCACTCCCCTTTCAAACTGTATTCTTGTTTATTGATAACAACTTTTTGTTACTGTTATATAGTATTTTATACCCGTTTACTTTATTCTCTTCTTTTTTTATAACTATAATGATCATATAAAGATGTGCCTTTACCTCACTGGTTGGAGAAAAAGCTTATTATATTCGTTAGCATAGCTAGCTAACCAGATGCTAATAACAACAAAGTTATTGGCTGTATGACAGATGAACAGATCGCCACTGGGCTTTCAACTAAAGACACAGCCACGCAAAAACTGCGGCATGTGTACGGTTGAAGTGCCGGAGCGGCCCACGTGATGACACGTTAGGCTCGTGTTGTGTTCAATGACCCTGATTTTAGCAAGGAAAAACAGGCACTCGCTTGTTTAATTATTTTGTGGTCTAGATTTCTTTAATTTCTTTCTTTTTTGCGTGTATTTATAAATTACCTCGGAGGCCGGAGGTTCCCCACCCCTGGCTTATACCCTCATTCACTGTTAAAGTCACAATGTGCTGTGCCTAACAGAGAAAGGTTATCCTCTATACAGTATAGCCTTGAAATGTGATGTATTTATCTAACAACTGTTTTGATGCACATACTGTACAGATGAGAAGATTCTTTATTTGTTAAATACATGCCACAATATATATTAGAAAGGTTACCTGACCCCTGTAAAATCCCTGTATACCATAAAGATGACGCAAACCTACGAAAATAGGCCCCAGTATACACTCAATTGATCAAAACAATATTATAATTGTCAAAATATGTAGGATCTTTTCTGTCATCTAATCATACTCTGGATTATGTTCCAGTGCACCTGGGAACTAATCTGTTTTCACATTTCACAAAATGTGCTTTATTTGCTAGGAGATACTCTAATATAAGTTAGTTCTTCAAACTAATCCTTGGTTTGGAGAAAGTGGTGAAGAGGGGAACTCCTTTGCAAGTTTGTGCCAGAAAGTGTAGGGAACTCTCTGTTTTTAATCTCTGTATCACATGTTCACAAGCAATACTTCGGCACAAGGTGTACACACACTTCAGATTGCAACAACATCAGCTGCAGTGGCTGCTTCAGCATCAAAGTCTGTATGCAACCTGAATTTATTTTTTTAGTCAAAAAATGTCTGTTATTGGGAAATGCAACTGGCTTTCAGTTCAAAGCAGTCTTTCTCCCGAGTAGGGATGAATTGTTTTATCAGTAAGGTCAAAAAATGAATGGTATAGATTAAACATTGCACTTTCCAAAGAGTCGATGCTCGCTTTGTCAATACGGCATTGGTTGAACTGCTTGACTGTGCTTGACTCCCCTTTAGCCATGAGGCTGCCTCCAATTAATCTTGGATCAATTTCCATAGCAATAACAGTGATTCAAAATGTTATAGCGGAACTCTTTCCAGATAGTGCATATCCAGCCAAGTGGCACTTGATAAGCCCATGGTCGAGAGGTAAAGTGTTGGTCCATCCCCAGGTGGGTGGTTCAATCCCCAGCCCCTGCCGTCAACGTGTTGAAGTGTCATGGGCACTGTTTATAAATGGTTTGTGTATGCGTGTGAATGTAGCCTTGTTTGGCCGCCTCTGCCTATGTATGAATGTGTGAGAGTGGGCGAATGCTTATGTGTATGAGTAAAAGGGCTTTGAGGGTTTGCAAAGACTCAAAAAGTGCTATATAAATCCATTAACTATTGAATGCCTTAAAAAGAAAATCAAACATTGCTCGACCTACAAACTCCTTTTGCAATCTTGTGTGAAACTATTTTTAAATAAATCATATCTGGCAGTGAGCAACCAATTTACAAAAGTAATTTTTTTTAAATCTGAAACTATATAAAATAATTAACAAATTCATTTTCATGTGAAGAAAGCACGTGGTTGGAGCCAGTACGTTTTATTTTCAGGTCACATACTGTATCTCAAACTGGGAATATGAGGCTTAAAATAATATCGACAATAGGAATTGTCCTTGTGTAGGAGTAACAACTTTAAGGTATTGTGTTGACTTTGTAATGTTTCATATGCAAACATATCTTTGACTGGAGGGAATAAACCAACATCTGTCCCTCAAATGAGGTCACTTTGCATCATCTCTTGCACCTGGTCACTGGGGCCTATTTTCGTAGACCTGCCTACAGCAATCCCCTGATCAAAGACACTTTTTCTTTTGCCGATTGAGCTTAACCCAAAAGTATCTGAGGCAATAAGAATTATTTCAAGGAATTGTTCTGAAGCACACTGTAATGTCTATAGTTTTGTTCTTGATGTTAGCTTTCTTATTTCTTATTTTTCATACCATCTAAATACTCCTGCATCTTCACTTTCACTCTTGTCCTCCTCATCTCACTCTTCTGCTCTTGCACGCTCATTGGCATGCACACTGAGCGTCCTCTGGGAGCAACACATCACCATTATTCATGAGGGAGTACACCTCAGAGCCAGACTGACAGATCAAAAGATGTTGATGATAGGCGGGGATAGCGGTGGTCGGGGTGATAAATGGCCCCATCTCTTGGAGATGGCTATACTAAGTTTGGGGACAGAGCTGCTTTCACAGTTTCAGGGGTGTTTGTTTTCGGCCACAGTTGTATAACCCTAAACTTGCATTGCATGTTGTTAGCATGCATTATAGCCAACATACAGTATAAGCAAACAGTTTTCTTCACATTTATTTGACTAAATATCAAACTTGAATTGAACAAGCCATATAAGACAGGGCTGTTTCTATGAAAACAGTCCTTATATACTTACTGTAATTTAATATCATGGTCACTTTTAAATATGTACATGTTTTTGTATGTTGAACAATTTCTACTCATTAGTTTTGCCACAAATGATTATTCAGAATATATACAGAAAGGTCATAGGAATTTGGTGTGCCTTCCTTTTTTTAATGTTCTATTGTAGGAAAACGACTTTTTCCCCATTTCCACTTGTTTTAAAGTAATTCAATAATAATACTGGGACATCACAGGAAGCATTGGTAGGATCCCTGTAGAGACGAGACAATATTGAATTGAGGAAATCAATTAAAGGCCAGGGAAAACAAATGGAATAAAAGAAAAAACACATGATGCAATACTATAATCTCTTATGTTCTAAAAAGGAAAAAGTGTTTAGTTCTTTATCTTTGTGCATCTGTCACTATAGAAAATGACTTTCACTTTAAAGCCTCATGACATGCCTGCCATTTTCACTTTTGATTTTTTTCTTCCGTAGCCATTGACCCAAACACAGAGTCAGTAGAGGATTTGATGCAGAGGTTCCAGGACAGTTTCCGTGTTCCAAACACTGCAACGGACATGTCTCACTACCAGCACGTCATGCACAGCTCGTCAACGGGCCGCCGGAGGGTCCCCAGCCACACCAGAGGTAGGACAAAACGTTTTGTTCTCAGAATATTACAGACCTTATAAACAAATGTATTTAGAACATTTCCACATTCCCCTCAATTTTACTATGCAAACTGGACAATGTTTGCTTACTACTGCTGCCTCTGTGTTACTCGTTTTATGGTTTTGGGCATATGATGTTTGAACTTTTTTCTCCCTGCCTTATGCAAAATACATTTTCTTGCCACCCACTGTCCAACATAGTAGCAGTCCTAAACCATTATGTGTATTTTGCAGCCTATTAGGCTGTCACTGCTTGTCGACTACAGAATCATTTTGTGAGTTGATTTATGTAAAAATATCAAATGACATATTTTGTTCACACCTGCCAAATAAAAAAATCCAAATAATATTGTGGTAGAATGTTAATTAAACTGTCAAGGTGGCAATTGCCTCGACGTATATTTTAATGTATTAATTTCAGTAGGACAGATGATACACATATTTAGGCATTTTAGATGTTTGCTTAACCTGTATTTTTCTAATGAGGGGGAAATTAATGTAAATTATGTCACAGTTAATTTCACAATTAAGTGTGAATCAATATTTTGTTTACAATTTCATATCTGTGAAATATATTAATTTGTAGTTTTTCTTTTATTCACTGACATGAAGAAACTGATTTAGACACCAGATAAGGGTATGGCATGAGGAAAAAACAGTAAAAAGTGAAATAAGAATAATAGTCACATTCATAAATTGTGAGTGAACTTACGGTCTGTAAAGTTTTGGATTTATTTAGTTCAATAAAGACATGTTATGCCTCACCCACATATAAAATATATTCAAGAACATATTTAGATTTGGTATGTCCCTTTTTTACACGTTTGCCCATGTTTTTACATTTGTTCTTACAGTTTACTTCAGCTTACTCTGTTGGATTTCTGTTTCATTAAAGATTCTTTGGGAGCACAGTTTATAAATTGCATGCCATTTTTAAGATGTGCCATGGGCAACACCAGCCTCTGCCAGAGCAATAAATCCAGCTAATTACCAGCAACGACTAATAATGTGAATCGCACAATCACTCTATCATTGGTCAAGTCATTATGACCAGTGAGACATTAACACTGAAAATGAGAGATAAACCATTATGAGTGAGCCTACGCTTGCCAGTATAACATACCCTCTTGATCACTGTCATCTACAGTAGATGCAACATACAACACTGAGTAACTTTGCACACTATGCATGCTCGCCTATGTGGGGAATATGAATCTTTCATTATATATAGTTTATGTTCTTGGTTATCCAAAACACTTCAGTTTAGTTTGTATTTGTCTTATTTGCTGTATACATTTGTATTTTTCTCTATTTAATTTATCTTGGATCGACCTTCTTAACAGATGATGCTCATGAAATGAAAAATGTGCATTGTCGATACTCTGAGAAGGACACTGCTGATACATTTCCTCTCTGAGGTCAAAAGAAAAATATTTTTCTTTGTAGGTCTATAGTCAGGGTTGAATATGCGTGCAAAAGGATAGGCCACAACATGATAATGGGAGAAACTGAGAAGAAAACTCTATTAAGTAAAGGAAGGTTAAAGGGGAATTTCACATGGTCAGCTCCAGAAGGTTCGTTTTTGATAAATGAAATGAACATTGAAAGCCCCTAGGCAATGTCCAAGAGTGGACTGTTGATGGGTTGATGCATTTCTTCAACTTGGTCAACCTTTTTCCTGTACAATAGCTGTTCCTCTCACATATCCTCTTAGCCCCCGTGTGCAGAGCTTTGGGTATATGAGCTAAACGGCCTTATTATAGCTATGACACAACAACATTTGATATTATAGTTATCCATGCCATGCAGATCACAGAGATCGACACAGGCAGGTAGAGAGGTAGACAAGACTGTTTGGTTTATGAGAAGTGACAGGAGGTCCTTAGGCCGAGCTACTGGAATTAGTGTCAGACATGACATGAAACACAGGAGGTCACTATGAAGACATGAAGGTCTCATCCATTTTCAAAATGCATAAATCAAAAATACATACTTTAAACATTTGAAAGGGATCTCTTGCCTGACACTCGGAGGTCCTATTTTAAATCTATAGGCTAGCTAGGATAATGGTTGATGCTTGATCATACCTTTGGGGAATGGACAGAGGGCCCTATGATGAAAGAGAGGACTTTTGTGTCCAAGAAATTCACTATTTGGAACACTGCTAGTCTGTACACACGGAAAGCTGTTGTCCAGGACATCTGGCTGGGAGGAATAGCAGAAGGCTCTGTAGGATATATGTGTGGGTTGCCTAAATTGAGCAACACATAGTATTTTTTTTTTAGAAAATGCCATTATTAACAGATTTTCGCTTCAGGCATGAGAGATGGGGAAGAAAGGAGGCCCCTAATGGCCAATTATTGGGCTTGAGGGTTGTCTAGGTTAGAGATTTACCCCAAATTTGTGTGGGAGTGGGAACGAGAGCAAATAAGATAAACGCATCACACTATTGTCTGGTTGTCAAGTCAAATTGCTAACCAAATAACCATAGTTAATTTCATTCATTTTTACATTAAAGCAAACACGCCTGAATATCTTTTCAGCTGGAAAACTACAGTAGCTTTTGTGTCTGCTCAGCTGAGCCCTGCAGCTGTTAATTTCTTCTCCTGGTATCCACTAGCCTGCATATTGAAATTGTGCTTTGTGGTGACATTCCATACTTCCCTGTCAGCATTGCCCTAGTTTATTGTAAGCTACTGTACATATTATACCTGGTCTCTCAGAAAATGTTTACTCATGCACATTATTATCTAGTTTCAGTCCCTATCGTCAAATATCCCCATCTTGATAGCCTTATCAGGTCGTTGGAGGATTTTTCATAAAGCAGGTTGAGAACGATGAACATTTGATTAGATACTACAGCATTTTGTACATTGAAAGCCTTATTAAGTTGTTCAGATAATGATGATTGAGAGATGCCTCCAAACGGCTCTGAACATGGCGACGCAGAGCCAGCGGCTAGCGTCTAACGCAGGGTGGTCTACATACAGAAAAACATACAAAGGGCTGGGCCACTCACTAGAGGTAAATTGCCTCATAAAACGAGTTATAAGTTGGCAAAATCAATCAAATGTCGGTCAATTATTCTTGATACTTGAAAATACTTTAAGAAACCCAACAGCGTACAGCTCACCATAGGGTTTCATGTATTATGTTGGCAGCTCATTCCTTCAAACAAAAGCCTCAGATTGCTTATAAAAAGGGGAAATATGAAGGGTCTATTTCAAGATTGTTATCTAATTAAGTTATTGGGCTTTTTCTTCACATATATATTTCAGAAGTAAAATATAAGACGAGCACAAGTTTTATTTGTGGTCCATATTTCATTATACTTTTTTAATTAGCTGAGGGCCGTTTCAAAATGGGCCGCAGGCCACATTTGGCCCACGGGCCGTAATTTGGACACCCCTGATCTAACAGTTCAGACAGCAGGGATGGTGCAAACAACAGAAATACTGCTGACTTAGCAAGCAGTGTTGACCTGAGGGTGAACCTTCAATCACATATTTCATACCATGACACCTGACAAACTTGTAGTTAGCCTCTATTCACGTCTAAGATGGATAGGATAGCTACATGTTAATCAAAAAAGCCAAGGCCAAGCTAAGAAGGATGAGGAACAAATTGCATTTTTATTTTTCCATTCAGCTTTCCTTCATCCATGCAAATCTTTTAGATGTTTGTGTTTTTACAAAGCTAGTTAAAATGTGTTTAATAACAGGCTACTGTTATTACTGCACTGCAGTGTTGTCTTCTACTTCTTGTCCTTGCAATTGCTTTTAGGTTCATTTTTGCCATCTTCTTGATATTTACTTTTCAGCTTGGGAAATTCACAAAAGTCTATTTAATGCATTTTGAAGATGCATACTTGTGGCTCAATAACATTTAATATATACAATCTCAATTGTGTGTGGATATATTGAAAATGAAATGATTTGTGGAACCACTTTATTTTCCCTGTATCAATGATCCCTTGATCCTGCATCCTGTACATGAGTTAACAACTTGATATGTTTTTAGAGAGGTTTGCTTTCATCTTTTGTTCTATTTGGAGTGTTCCCATTCAGTGGGATGCGCACAAAGGCTTTGCTTTTATATGCAACAACCCCCTGTATACATAATTGTTCTTGGTCTTTGACTACTTCCTAATGATCTGGGATTGACATGTGAGCTGTTGTTGCTTGCTTCTGAAATGCCTCCTGAAGTTTGGTAAAAATATGTCATGTATGGTTTCCTGTTCAGTGCTTTGATTTGACCCGTGACTTTAGCCTTATTGCCCCCATTGACTTCTGCATGGCATTATAGTTGCTAGGAATGGCAGTTAATGTTGGTTGTCAGGAGATGGAAGTCCCTGTCTCTCCAGACCTATAGTTAGCATTAAGAATAGTGAGTGGGGAGACTTTGCTGATGTGTTGATCTCCCCCGCACATCATGCCTGGTGCAGAGTGTCAACTATGTGTGGCCTTAAAGAGCCTGTGACACGAGTTTCCCCCATCATCCAAACCCATCAATTTGAGTAAATATTGTCCCCTTGAAAACCGTTACTGAACTGATTTTGGATATTTGTACTTTGATAACCATTAATCTGCCCTTCAATGTTGACCATTTTCTGGATCTTCTCGGGGATTCTTCAAGTCCCGCCAAATTATGTGTGACGTCATTGCGGGCACAGCGCTCCAGCTGCACCGTTCAGGATCCCAGCAGCTGCATGTAAACGCACGATGGCGCACACAGCAGCAAGCTCAGACAGCGATGACAGTTTAATTTTGAACGTGTCTGAGAGCTCATATGAGGCTGAAGGATCGGTTTATGTTGTATCTGTTAGAAGTTTAGGAATTAGGTGCGTCAATATGGGCAATCATACGGTCATGTAGCCAGTGGGACTAAAAATCATCCCGGTGTTGCAGTATAACGTGAGTCATGACAACTGGCGACATTCTATTATTTTCGTCATAGGAATCCGGGGCGTGTACATTG